TGTTTTTCTGCGTTCTCGTATCCATCAATAATATAATTACATTTCCAGCACCGTAACTGTGTAAATGTAAATGGAAAAATACTATTATTGGCATATTTTTCACACTGCTCCAATGATAAAGCAGCTTCATTGATATCGCTATCATTGATAAACATTTTAATGCATTCAGAGTGTTTAAAATGCTTAACGTGCTCTAATGCGAGATACCACCGTTTATTTGATTTATTGCATATATAACAATAATAATCATTCTTCGGCGTGATAAAATTTTTAAAGTATATAATAAATTCATTGTCCGGCTGAAAACATGGTAATGATTGATGGTCATTCATCGCATGATCGACAACAGAATTTTTAGGAATATTTGTATTGCACAATTTACACATAACATGATTTTCTGAATAACAATTTGGTGAAGCTGGATTTACAATTACTTGACTTATTTCATTGACTGCCATTAAATCGATGTGTTCTTGATGATTTAAATGCATCATCATCTCAGAAGATGTTGAAAATTGAATGTTACACAAGTAACAATAATAACCATCTTGATTTTTCCGGATAAAATTGTCCAAGTCTTTAGAAAAGTCTTCCTTCCATTCAGGAGATTGCACTATCTGTTTTATTGTATCATCATTTTCGTTAATTAATACAGTATCATTTATTTGTAAAGAGAGAGATATGTTAGTCGCAGAAACGAATCCCAAAGTAATTTTGTGATTTTTACTGTTAATATGTTCTTCAAGTGTCCTGTATGATGAAATAATAAAACTGCATGAATAACATTCTAGTTGCTGACTATTGGATTGAAAAATATTATTTTTTACGAGGACTTCGCAGATATTTGGCTTACATGGAGCGCTGCCAATACTAAGTGATAGTCTTTTACGTGACAATAATTCCTTATGTTTCAGATCTTCAATATGATTCATCACCGAACATAATAATAAATAATTTTTGTTACATAAATTACAGAAATAATCATTATGACGTTTAATAATAAAATTTTCAAAGTATGTTGGGTAATCTTCTGCAACATTAACAGTTGAAGACACTGTGTTACATGTTCCTGACATGAGCTCTTTTTTCTTCAATAAATTATTTTTATGAATTTCACTGATAATATGTTTATCAGCATTTTCATGTCCAACAATAATACAATCACATGTCCAGCATTTTAATTGTGTATGACTTAACAAAATAATCCCATTAGTAACAAATTGCTGACTAATTTTTTCAGTCAACTCAATAGTATTTAAATCATTCAGTCTTGTAAATTCCTTCAAACTTTTTGAGTGATATGTTTCCCCTGTATGTTTAATTGACTCATACCAATAATAATATGTTTTTTCACATAAATGGCAATGATATTCGTTGCCAATATTAGTGATATTATTTTTAAAGAACGTAGTGAATTCATTTTCTGGTCTGTACCATGGAATCAATTTGTGTTTTTTACTCGCATGTTTTTGGAATGCAAGTTTAGAAACCAAGCTCTTACAAATTTTACATCTAACATTTTCTTCTGAAATTTCTTTGAAGGAATTCTCGAAAAATTGTAGTTTAGATTTATGCTCTGGTTTTTCTTTATGGTCTTGCCATTTTTCTTGAACAAAGCATATAAAGCATGTTGTTAACTTATCTTCATCATCTAAAATTCCACATATTTTTTTCTTATGGTTTTTTCTTTTTCTAGACGGCATTGTATTCAATTTTTATTTTTCTTGTACTGTACCTGAAAAATGAAAATTTTCTAATTATATTTATAGTACAAATAAATTAGTGATAGGGAAAATAATAAAAAAATTGTTTATATTTACCATAAAAATTAATGAATATCAAATTTTTATGTAAAATATTGACGTCATTAATGTAATTTCTTAATAAATTCGGCAAAGCTGAACTGTTAAAAAACAGTCATATTTCTTTATTATATGATTTAATCTCGGCCTATTTTTTCAATAGATAAAATGACTAGGTGACCTTGATATATTTTTTTCCTAAGCTACTATTGGTACACACGTAATCATAATCTACGAGGACAGCAATAATTAAACAGAAAAAATTCAGTTTAATTAATTTCTCCAAACTTTCTGTGAATTAAAATATTTATTAATTATTTTTTAAATTTATGATTATAATATAGACATTTCTATCCATAATACGTAAGAAGGTCCTGATAAATTTACGCCATATGCATTTATTAGGGCTATTTTACGTGTGAATACATATATAATATAAATAATATTAATTAAAATAAAATTTACTAGAGGTTATATTTACATAAGAATACGGAATCCATTGGAGATGATTCACTATTTTTATATCGTACACTACTGGCAATAACACTTGAATTCCAATAAATCATTCACGAACTAATGAAAATAAATGATTATTAAACTTATTAGAAATGTGAAAACCATATGACAATTTATAATAACTGTTTAAATATTAATTTAATTTACCAAAAAATACGAAGAAAATCTATTATGAAACTCAAAAATTAATATATTTTATTGTGTTGATCTACTGTATAATTTATAATAATTTATCCGAAAAGAAAGTGAAATTTTGATCTTGAGAAATAATTTTAGGTTAAGCGTCTGCTTGAAAATTTTACAAAATAAGTTTACTAATGAAAGTATATATTTAAAAGTAACGCTCATGCACATGTGGTTATTTTCGAATGGATCTAGTAAGCTATAATCGTGAATCATCGTTCGTCTTCGGAAATTCAGAATGTATACACACGTAATATACACAAAACTAACCTAGGACATAAAATATAAACAATAAAAATAACAAAAAAAAAAAAATTACCACTAAAGTACAATGCGTTTCATTGATTCTTTACGGTCGGAAATTTTACAGAAAATGGAAACATCAAATTTTGGAAATCTGTGAGTAAGGAAATCAATAAATGAAAAATATGGAAAAATAAGATTTCAGAAATAATAAAAAAATGATGTGTCTTATTGAGGATACTTTGCAATATCGATTAGTTAAAAAATAGCAATGAAAAAATGTAGTAATCAAAATAATTAGAATTATTTTAAAAAAGATAAGCGTAAAATTATAAAATCAAAAAAAAAGATTTCCGTGAAATTTAGACGCATCAGAATATAAACATCTAAAATGACTGATATTTAAAAAAAAAAAGAAAAGAATAAATTCAGACAAGTCGAAAAAAAGACAATTAAAAATTTAGAAACATAAAAAAATAGACAATCATTAATATTCGTAAACTTAAAATATAGAAATCTGTTAATATAGACCAATAAATTTTGATATCTGTAATTATGGAAATCTGTAAATAACGGATAAATATAAATTCTGATAATTTATAAAAAAGACAATTGTAAACGTAGTCATCATACGAATTGAGAGCGAAGGAATTTAAAATACAAAATATAACAGAGAGGAGATATATTTTCCAGTGACCGCTGCTCCGGGAAGTTGTCAAGTTATCGGCGACAAATATCCCTACAATTATCAGCTCCTGTGACCGCTGCTCCAGGAAGTTGTGAAGTTGTCGGTGACTCTGTGTCCTGGATTTTTTAAAAATATAAAGATTTATCTCCCGATACTGGTATTAAATATTTTTAAAGACTGATACACCAAGATTTTTTTTTTTAATTTTGGTAAAAGCTATTTTCGAGGGCCGATAACTGCCACCAGCTCCTGTGACCGCTGCTACAGGAAGTTGTGCAGTTGTTGGCGACGTTGTGTCCTGGATTTTTTAAAAATATAAAGATTTATCTCCCGATACTGGTATTAAATATTTTTAAAGGCTGATAACTGCCACCAGCTCTTGTGACCGCCTAGAAACTTCTCCAGGAACTATTGAAGTTGTCGACAACAAATTTTTAAATATCAGTTATTTTAGATATTTATATTCTGATGCGTTTAATTTCACGGAAATCTTTTTTTTTGATTTTATAATTTTACGCTTATCTTTTTTAAAATAATTCTAATTATTTTGATTACTACATTTTTTCATTGCTATTTTTTAACTAATCGATATTGCAAAGTATCCTCAATAAGACACATCATTTTTTTATTATTTCTAAAATCTTATTTTTCCATATTTTTCATTTATTGATTTCCTTACTCACAGATTTCCAAAATTTGATGTTTCCATTTTCTGTAAAATTTCCGACCGTAAAGAATCAATGAAACGCATTGTAGTAATCTATGTTAACAACAGACTTTAAAATTTTATATGAGCGGGAACGGATTAGTAAATCAATTATGAAAATTAATTTAGCCGACATTTAATAATTTTAAAATTTTTTTAACCAATAAATTATGGCAAAAAAATTAGAAAAAAAAATTGACATCTAGAAATTTAAAAAAATTAAAAATCCAATTTTTTTAAATAATTTTTTGGAACAAATTTGTTTGTTAAAAAAATTTTTTTAAATTGTCAAGTGACTGCTAACTTTAATGTCATAAATCAATTAAGCTATTTTTATTTAAAGTAAGTTTTAATTTTTTAAATTAATTTTTTTAATTATTGTAATTAAAAATTTCGTACGTTTCATTTAGATCTTTTTTTTATTTCTACAATACTGAATCAATCATTGAAAAAAAAATTTAGATAAATAAATTTGTATGAACAGGAATATTAGATTAGTTGTTAATAGAAACAATAAACAAATAACAAATAAGTAATTTATATTGGACAGAAAATTTTAAGTTTTTAATTTTAACTTATTTTTTTCATCTAAAGCAATCATATAATTAAAGTTTATCAATGAAATGTAATTTTTAAATTTGTTACAACCATCTAAAGAATATATTGGCAATAAAGAATAAATTATATTTTTATAATGAGCTTAAGTTTTACTTTATTTTAATTCTATAACCTGATTTTCACTATTTACAAGTTTGAAAGATTAATATTTAACATGCAGCAAAATTATATCCCAATTCCACAACGTCTCTTGTAAATTAATCTCTAAGTACAAAGAAAAAAAAAGGAATTTTGATAAATCATATTAAACGATACAAAAGCTTGGACCGTTTGCTGGTTGAGATGGAATAGACCGTCGATTCATTCGACAAGTATGTTCCTCTAATCGTTGAGCTACATGCAAAGTACTGTCAATACTTTTCGACCAAAGACGTTCAGCTGCGGCACTAGCACGAGGCCAGACTCTCTGATGCATATTGTTACTGAAAATTAAACGTCCGTGATTATTAAATTGGAAACAATACACTTAACTGCTTATTTATTAAAAGATTGTATTCATACCGATCAACAAATTCCGACCACATACAAACTTCTCCACCTAACATTAAATCCTTGACCTTATCCGAATCAACAAAATCAAGCGGGTCACAGTTGTAAAATTTAGACCAATCAGAACCTCCTGCTATATGATCCAAGTACCAGCAGGCAGAAAGAAGCACAGGATATCCTGCTTCGGTAATTTTTGATAATTTTTCAGACCAGTTCCCAGTCCATACATGGACCACGGTATCTTGAGTTAGTTCTACGCGATTTTCAAATACCTAAAAAAAACAATGAACTAATTTTTTCATTTGCTAAATAGTGACTTAAGAGCTATTATTTCTTTTGTATTATACAATCATAAAGATAAATCAACAATATTTATAGATAGTATAATCAAGTTTAAAATAGACTAATTTTTAAAGTTTAATTAATTGAATCACATACGACTTACTTCTTGCCAAACGATGGAGCTAACATTGCGGCTTGCTGGAATCTTAAGCAATTCTGCAATATAAGCGCTTTCCAGACGAGTAAAGTCCTTTGACATACCATGCTCTTCCATGTACGAAATAACTTGTGGATTACTTTCCCAACAATCAAACGGAACTTCATCTCCTCCTAGATGTATGTAATGGTCTTCGAAAACTGTCATGACTTCGGTTAGCAATGTTCGTAGAAATGGCCATATGCCTGGGTTCGTTGGGTTGATAGGACCTAGACGTCCATCAGGTTTTCCCATTGAATCTATAAATTTATAGTTTTAACTATAATATTTTTTCAGTCAATAACAAGTGACGTTCATATTTCTCCATGTTTTTTCAATTTAATGACAGATGGTAATCTAAAATTATAATAAACTTACCATAACACTTGGTCAGTAACTCAGGATGAGACAGCCCCCAAGAAGCTACATGACCTGGAGAATCAAATTCCGGCATAACTCGGATTCCACGTAATCTTGCATGCTCAATAACAGCCTTCACATCTTTGGGAGTGTAGACCATACTTGGATGCCAAGCACCTCTTTGCGAAAGCTCTGGGTACGCTGAACTTTGATACGGGAAACTGTTGTCATCAATAATATGCCAGTGGAAAACGTTTAATTTATTATATGACATTGCGTCTAATGTCAGAAAAATATCTTCTACAGGGAAGAAATGACGAGATGTATCTAATAAAAGCCCTCGATGAGGGAGTTTAGGTTCATCGATTATCGATTGGTTCTTTATCGCCAGCTGCAATAATTTTATTACTATTATTGCTGTTGTGACAATAATTATAATAATATGAATAATTTTCTTACATTTAATCCATCGCCAGAAGGTATCAAAAGCTGAGAAAAAGTTTCCAAGCCACGAAGAGCTCCCCATATTGAATTCGAATGAAGATGAGCAATCGCGTCATTTATTTCCAACTCATCTGAAAAATTATATAATTTTTATTTTTAAATCGATATAGATATGTAAATTTGATTAATATTATCGTTAACTGTAAGAATTGAATTTTTATCAGTCAATATGATGACAACTGATATCTAATCTCATCGTTAAATTCATTTAACATGAATTAATTGGATGCAAGAATTGTTTTTTAACAAACACCTAAAAGAATTTTTTTTAAATGGATTTAAAATAATTCTTTTTTTTTACAAAATTATACGAACTATTAAAATGAAAAATTATTTAATTAAATTTCATATAATTTTGTAAAAAAAAAAAATTTAATTTTAAATTATTGTAATCATTATTTTTTAACGGTAAAGTAATAGACTTTTCATTCTTATACTTATAATAAAATTCTTAAAATGTAGTAATTTTTATTAAAGATAAAATTTTTAGATTTTGATAGAAAATAATCTTAAAATATATTTACATTTTTCATTCATATGCAGATACGGCATTTTCTCACAACTTCCAACTACATTGATCCTGAGTTTCATAAGCATTCCCTTAAAATCATTATCATTGCGATCAAACATCACCTTTTGGTCTTCCATAGCTTTTCGGCCTATCCTAGCTTCGCGTAGGATAATATCGTGATATCGTTCCATGGCATCATTAATAACGTCGCAATCAATATTAGTCTGTAACATAGAAAATCCATCAATGAAAAATACAAGTAAATGTAAAAGAAAGTTTACTTCCGATAATTATTTATAATAAAATATTATTTACTTACTTCAATAGCAAAAACCGACGGTTGTAGAAGTAGAAATCCATGGCGACTAATTTGATTGTAAACAAGAGGCCAAGGTTCACCTTTTGTCGGAACTACCCAAGGTCCAGCATCAGCATTAAAATCTGACCCGAAAGTATAATCCGAAAACATGAAAAACAATAAGAAATATTTAATCAACATTGTAGTAAGTTTTATTAATTTAATAACAGAACTTTAGGTCAAACTTTTATGTTAAAACTGATAAAAAAATGATACTAGTCACGCGAATACCCATCGCACACTGAAAGTTGTTGTCAGCGGACTTATTTAACTGATACCCTGTTATCTTGTTAACATTCTGAGGCTATCGGTCAATTGGGAATAACCCGGAAACAAATATTATTTACTCTTGTTGTTGGATCATAGTAACAGCTGTCGGCAAATAATCGTATGTTGGGAAGAAACTATTCCATAATAAATCAATAAGAATTATTCATTACTTTCTTTTTAAGTACTACAATTTTATTAACATTAAAATGTTAGAAGTACAAATGTGTTTATGAAAATTATATCTGAAGATATATCAAAACCAGTCAATTATGAATTTTGAATAAAGTTTTAGAGAAAAAAGAAATGTTTGATGTTTTTATCTATGAAAGAAGAAATTTTTATTTAAAAAAAAAAAAATAAATAATATTATTTATAATTTATTGATTACAAATATAATTATATGATAACAACCCTCGCGGTTTTTGAAATACCGTAAATTTTTGGTATTAATGCGTTTACCATAAATTTACCGTCATAATTCTGAAATAATACGGTATTTCTGTGGTCATTTTGGCCAATTTTTTTACTATAGTTATACAGCATTTCTACCGTACTTTTGATGCAAAGTTCAGAAATAATACGATAAAATTACCGTAAAACTCTAGAACTTTTACCGTAAAAAATCTGTGTGTTAACTATAATATTACTATAATTTTACAATAATAAAACCGTATTTCTACGGTAAAAATACCAAAGATATACAGCAATTTTGCCGCGTTTATGCTGATATAATTAATGATATAATGCTTTCTACCGTAAGATGGACGGTTATTACTCGGTGAGTCTTATTAGGTGACTGAGTAAATAGATATGGATAGTGTCTCTGATAACTCAACTGGTAGAGTCTTCAGCGCGTACCTAAATGATCCGGGTTCGAATCCCGGTATGGACAAAAAAAATCGATAATAATAATACTAGAAAAATTAAGTTATCAACCTCTTAAAAATTATTCATGATAATTTATATTATAAAAAAAAAAAATTTTAAACTATTGAAAAATAGTAGTAAAGCAGCATATTTTTGGTATTTTGCCGGTAATAGAAAGTAGGGATTTTCTTTTCCGGTTTTTTGCTGCAATAGCGCCGCAGATATACAGTAAATATGCGGTTTAAATGCTGTTAATATACCGTAATTTTTCTATTGTATTGCCGTAAATATTCTGAATTTATTTGGTAATTTTTTCGTAATAATTCGACAAAAAAACTGGCTGAAATAACTGAAGTATCACGGTAAAAATACAGCATTTATATCGTATAAATACCGAATCTTTACGGCATTTCCAAAACCGTGAGGGTGAGGGAAGGATCAAAAATACGATATTGAGTAACTAATTCATGTGCAATATCACCATTATCATTATCTTTATCTATATTTTCTCTTTTATGTTAAATTCAAATTTCACTAAAAAATATATTATTGTTACCATAAATGTAAATTGCCGATCGGCGTTATTTTGCAGTAAATATCAATATCAATAAATGTGATTTTACCGATAGAATGTTCAAATATGACCAAGTAAATGAATTGTTATTTGAATATATGTACGTATTAGATAATTCAAATATATAAGTACAAAATTCCAAGTAATTTATTTTGAATAAACAAGTAATATAATAAAAAATTATAATATAATTTATATAAAATAAAATAAATAAAGAACTTATGATTTTTTTTTTTTTTTTGAAGAAAAAAAAATGTGTCAACCCCATTGATTGTTAGTTGATTTAATGAGGGGTAAACTACCCTAAGCAGGGTTACGGTACTGCTTGGTGACTCGTAGCTTCATTGATTGCAACGTCGTACACCAGGACATCGGACGCCATCGTACAGCCGACTGCCGTCGAGGAGAAACGAGGAGAGTCGTGCTTCTAGAGTGAAAGATCGAGAGAGATAATAGACAAATAAGAAGACGGATATGTATGTACGTAGTAAGAAAGAAAGAAAGAAGAAATAAACGTGCGTGAGTATGCGCATGCGATTTTTATAGATACTATCCATTCACCCTCGTTTATTTTTTTGTTTGCCGGAAAACAGGAACTGTGTCGATCGTACATAAAAGATGTACAAACTATGTACTACTATAGATTTTTCATGATATTTCAAATTTCAGGCATTTCCAAATAAATATTTGGGACGGATTAAGATGAATTGAATTTGAGTCCGAGAAGAAATGGATGTTTTTTTTTTACTGCTGAATAAATAAAAGCTGTAAATTAAAATAAGATTGATCAAAAGATGTCGGTATTTAATGTTGTGGACTCAACAACTTAATACCCGATCGATTTTCCAGAACACCTAGTGAACCGGGAAATCCCGGGTTATGCCGCGAATAGTAGTAACGGCCGGTTACCGTACATCATTGATTCTCAACTAGTGTAGGCTCATAGGCTGAGAAAGCTAGACGAGACGAAGCAAGCAACAAGAGCTTATTATATTAACGATCGATCTATTCAATGTTTATTTATTAATTAATTTTCATAAAAATTTATCAATGAAAATGAAGTTATCCGAAATTTCAAAATTTTTAGAAATTTTTTAATGAAAAAATTTCAATTAAAAAATTAAAAAAAAAAAATTGTCACATGTAAAAAACTTGAAAAGCTATAAGTGCAATTTTTTAAAAATATCTTTTTAGTTGTAATTTAATTAATAAAAATAATCAAAAATTTTTAGGCGTCTGCTAACTTCAGTGTCATATTTATCATTGTTTTTATTTATTGTTGAATATTAATTGAAAAAATGAGAGTAATCAATGAAAGCTCTGATGAGGCATTAGTTATCGGATAAAAATAGAATAGAAGGTCTCTATTGTATGAGTAAAAACCTTTTTACCAGCAGCGACAACTAACTCTTGAGCGTAAAAAATCAAGGAAGACAAGAGCTTTTACTCTAAGTGTAGGTGTAGGAATGACAGACAATCCCCTTGGAGTGATTATATATCTAGGCATATGTACTCTTACTCTGTCGAGTAGTCGAGTATAGAGAATAGAGGGTGAAAGAGTATAATATAATAGTGCAGGAGGGGGGGGGGGATTTAAAAGCTGGTGTATAGTAGAGAATGAAGTACCGGAATACTAGTTTTATAAACATAGTGATATAACTTTGAGTATTAGTATTTTATATGGGATATATGTATGGTGTGGTATGCACCCGATTATCCTAAACATGCATGACTCTGTTTATTGGTGGTGGTTACCACGCGACAATATTGAACTATATATAAGAATGTGTTTGTGATGGATATATCAGTAGCAAAATGCCTGCCACACTCCACACTGTGATGGTGATTCTCACTCTGTCCTTACTTAGATTCTCCTTCTATTTTATAGACGATCTATAAGCGCATGAGCAAATAACTAGGGTGGCCCTCTGTGGGAGCTTGCGGCGCACGCGGACATTATCAGTGCTCGCGGATCCGTCGCGGCGTCGATCGAGCCCTCTTCCACCTAGCGACGATATTACGTGGCGGGCACCTCGCTGGCATTACGAGCTCGTCCTGTGGGCGATCCTCGCCTAAACTAAGGCCAGCGACGGAGTCAGCCCACTAGGTTTTTTTTTAAACTCTCTCGAGGTTTTCCTATTAAAATTCATTAAATATGTAACCTAATTTTGTGATTTTGTGCGATAGTATTTAAATAGAGAGGGCTAGAGTAGCTGGGGAAAAAGCTCTAAGAAAAGAGGTGGAAGAGAACCAGAAGAGGTGGAGAATGAAATCGATCGGATAGTTGCCCGATGCGGAAACTTTTGTTATGTATTATTGGTTTTTTAATAGTGAGTGAATTTTACTGATAAGGATCGGTATTATTATTATTATTATTATTATTATTATTATTATTATTATTATTATCCGTATTAAAATACGTTATTAAGTGGTGGAAATAGATTATTTAATAAATATTAATAATAAGAAAATAATTATATTGGCTGATATCGTGCGAGGGTAAAGAAGAGAGTCTGCGGGATGATTTTGGGTGTTTCTACAAAGTAGTGACTCGAGACGATAACCGAATACAGGGTGTGATTAAAGAGATCCTCCCAACTCCTATGCCTTCTTTTTTTTCTCAAGAGGTTCCTGTTAAGAGGTCGATTAAAAGACTGATTATCCACAGTAAAGAATCTAACTACTACCTACTTCTTGTAATATATTTACAAAGTCACTCCTCTTTTGCTGATAGTTAACACTAGTTCATCAAGTTAATGTAAGTAGGACAACTATGTCAAGTTTAACGTTTAAATATCAAAGAGTGACATTAAATCTTGCTTTTAGGACTTTTTAAGAGAAGCTAATTTGTATGTAAAATAATTTTTTTGGAGTCACCGCTATTTGTAAATCATCAGAATACAGATGAGTCGTCAAGGGAATACTAATTGGGCAGCCAGGCTCATAGTATCAAGACTTCCTTCCACATCAATCGGATGAACTTTTATAAAAGTGGATCTTTAAATGGAGGACAATTAAAGGTCAATCAATACCAAGACAAGAGATACTAACTTCCGGTTATGTACAAACTAATTGACGCCTTAAAATTTAACACGTGACATCCTCATCTACATATTCACATATTCACTATCAAATATGATATATTTATATGTAAGAAGAAGTACGATCGACAAAGACTGAAAAGCTTTCAAAGCACAGAGAACTGATAAAATTGATGAATAATAAATAAGTCAATACTTAAATACTAACATCTTATCAATAATAATGTTATTTATTACAATGACTGATACCTGATAAAGTTAGAAGGAATGATTTTAGCAGGACTTGGAGGCACATGCAGGTTTTAGGAAGATTGTTTCCAAAAATGCCGGCATTAAGTGATCATAAGTGACCTGTGTGTGCGTGAGGATCAAGTGAGACCGGAAGAGAT